ATCGATCCTGATACATTTCGAGTTATACACTGTATAAAGAGGCTTCTCACATTTCACCAACGGAATCGATCTAATTTAGAAAAATTTTCAAAAATTTTCAATCGTAAGACTTCCATATATATATATATATATAAATCATACTTTGTGAAAATTATACAAAGAAGCTTCACGAAGATTTACATCGCAGGTAGCAAAAAGAAGAGAGCGTGTGTGGACGAGTTAAAGATTCTTGGACCGGGAGGAGGAAACGAATGCCGAAAGATTAATCGACCGCTCTCTAATGGCAAAGGATTTTGGGAAGATCAACGAGCATTAGTCGGCAGATCCGGCTCCACGAATATCTCGGCTTTGCTTTCCAGCGAGGAATATCATCCGGATCCGGTGAAAATAATCGCGTGTCGGTCAATGAAAAATAAGAATCGTCCGCAGGTTAAGCGCTCCTTTCACGGATACGTGGAGGGAATGATTAGCTCATAATTGACGCGCATCACTCGCCAACCACTACCAGATCCAGATTCGAAATTCGCTCGGACAGAGAGCAAGAAACGCCTCGTGATTCGATAAGATCAAGAATCGACAACGTCACATTCGCATGGAAGCTAAAATACTTTATGAAAGCTAAAATCAAGATCCGTGAGATAAACGATTCAACGAAACTCAAAGTCACGTGGCGGAGGTTCGTCTTGGCGAGTTTTCAAGGTCAACGACAGACAGAACATTTTCTGCGCGATACTTTCTGCCTAGAAACTTCAGCGCGAACTTGTACAAAGCAGGGAATATTTTTAATTATAGAATTATACGAAGCAAGAAAATATTTCACAAAGTCAGATAGTATTCCAACCCTAATAAGCCAGTCTTCCACGGTGAATGTAAACTCTCAACAATTCGAGAATTCGAGAAAAAAGCAAAAATTCCCTGGAATTCGAGGGGACGACGTTAATTGTAAGCGAAAGGTGGTGGTGTTTATTTATTCGCGACAATAGGATGGCGGGGCAACGGAGCAACGAGAGCGGCGAGGTCTTCGACACCGACAATTACGTGCTCAACGCTTTGTATTATATCAACAAGTTGAACGAATCGGTGAACCCGGAGGCGATCAAGTGTTTTGAGCGTAAGCAGCAGGACGAGCTGCAGCGTCTATCATCAGCTGGCACGCAGCAGCAGGATCAACAGGGATGTGAAATCAACTGGGACTCTTTACTCTGCTGGCCCAGAACACCACCGGCAACCCTGGTCACTCTGCCCTGTTTCGAGGAGCTGAACGGAATCCGCTACGACAGCAGCCGTGAGTAACAAATTGTTTGATATTTCATGCACTGTGTGAATAATATAATCTCACATGATGATGATGATTTCGTTCGTCGACCGTATGATTAATGACTGTTCGAGGTTTACGTACCAATACACTTTCACGGGATTGGATTTCGTACATTTGGCCGTGCAGTTTATTTGGTCATTTGTGTCATTTTAGTGGGCTTTTGTCCATCTTTTGGATTTTAATGTAACTCGACGCCTGCTTCTGCTTGTTTGCTGAACATTGTAATTTTCATAAGTTTGACAATGAGTTTACAATGAAGGTGCTTTGTGCTCTTCAACAGCGACAGATTCAACTTTATCAAATAATAATAGTTAATTACATTTATTTCACGGATGTCTATTTATTTTGTACATGGAAACTTATAATGAACGAAACAGACATTTAGTTATGTTGTTATGATTCTAAATATGTATAATAGGATCGTTCAATCGGTTATTAAGATATTCGGATATCGACACATTTGATCGAGCCATTTGTTTTATCCGACATGTGTTTATTTCTCGGATTTTGATATATAACTCGACGTTTATTTCCTATCGGATTATTGCGTCCGTTTTACGAATATTTTGACATATAATGAAAATTTTATTTCATACTCTTCTGACGTGTATTTTGTCGATAATAAAAATATTAAAATTCAATTTTTAAACAGTGTTAGGTTATTTAGACGTTTATTTCACGAACATCATCACAGCTGTTTTTTTCAGTATAGAAGTTTCCAATGATGGACACAAATATTTGTAGATATAATGAAAAAGGTAGAAGACATCTTATTTACGCGTTTACATATAGTAAATGCTTCCAATAAACGTTTCGAAATTTTCGTACACATTTATCAGATTGATGTGACAATTTTGTACGATAGTCGTGTCTTGTTACGATGCTAATGAAATTTCAACAAGTTTCTTGGCTCAGACATAATGTATTCATAAGAGACCTCGTTTTCACGAGTGATCGTATTATATATTTCAACTCGGAGAACTCTCAGAACGAGATGTTCGCTGTTTCATTTCGATGGCAGTAACTTTATCTGAAAAGAAATCAAAGTGCAGGTGCACTTTGTCCGGAAAGAAAGAAAGAAAAAAAAAAAAA